AGGTGTTGCGAGCGCTCAACCTTGAGAGTCGACATTCTTCCTGGGCAGCAAGCTGGTGGGAGACGGGCGAAGCCTCTGAAGGGCCCTGGACGAAGCACTCGGGTCACGGTCACCATGCCAACCCGCTGGGACTAGTACATGCATGCTTGGGCAGCAAGTCCTTGGTACCGCTGCTTGCGCAATAGAGGTCGTGCAGGGCATGCCAGCCTTTAAGGAGACGCTTACCAGACCGTCTAGAAATATTTCTGTTTGGGGGACTCGGATTTGAATCTGGCTGTGATCGACGTCCAGTCTGCGACGTTAAATAATTCCTGAGGAGATGGGGGCTCTCCTTAAATCCCTCCTGATCAGCCAGATCAACCGGGTGTAAGGCTCGTTCCGTACGAGGATAAATAAGAGTGGACTGGCTGGCATGTTCGGCAATGACTTGGGGCATAGGGGTGGGCCGGATTGCACACCTTTAGACACGCTGCTCAACCAGATGCTCAGGAACGTTGACACAAAGAGACCACTCAAGAAGGATACAGGGGGAGGGGGGATTCCGGTAACTGTTCACAGTGGCAATCAACTATCAATCTGCCATCCAGTATACATCTCCAACAGGAGATGTTATTTTTATTTTTGATTATCTAGTTGTTACAGACTTGACTAACAACTAACAAACAACTACAGACGGATTAGATCTTTGCTGTATTGCAATCTGTTCCAGGGTAATCTAAAAATAGATTTAATATATCCTGTAGGACCTGACATTAGTTGTTACTATATCACCTAACTGTTTCTGTTCCAGCCGACCGAAATTAGTTGTGGTTCATAATCGGTTGTGTGTCAAGCTAAGGTAGGATTCAGTGTGGATTCTAGTTTAGATCACACACACTGTAGCTCACGAGTGATGAAAGCACTAGTGAGGAGGAGTTGCTAGTGGACGACCGTAGGACTACTCGCGCGACTGGCCGTAGTCGACCCTTGACATTCTTGGAGTTAGGTCCAGAAGACGAGAGAAGATTGCGGAGAGAGGCTAGAGAGAGAGCAGCGGCAAGGAGAGCGTGGGCAGCTGAGGATAGTGCCAAGACTAAAATCTCAGCTAGTACCGGTGCAACCATGGCTACCTCAGCTATGTCGCAAGCCTCTACACAGTCCACTTCGTCAGGAGTCAGTCAGAGTGGTTCTCAGGGGACCACTAGTCAGATTGCTAACTTGCGAGTCAACCAGCAAACTCAACTCACGCCGGAGGATTTGGAAATCCGACAAGCAGAAGAACTTCAGGATGAGCTACAGCGGCAGTTGGACGAGGCAGCAGAGAGGAGAAGGAGAGCAATCCTGAGAAAAGCTAGACTAGGTAGTAGAAGAGAGGAGCTAGGCAATCTGAAAGGACTCGATGAGGCGGCATTAGATCCTGCTGTTCGTGTGCTGCGTAATGCTTTACTTTCAGTGGCTGAAGCGCAGAACGTCCACCAGGAATTGCTGGCCGAATTGGTGGCAGGCCAGAAACAAATCCTGGCTGAACTTCGGGCTCCTCGCACAGCGGTGAGGCAGCCGCAGTTTGCTGTAGTTCCCCCTGTAGGTGCGGGTCCCTCATCGATGCCGCAACACACAGGGTCAACCTTTTCTCATATGTTTGGCATACCCCCTCCAGGTGGTTTAGCAACAACTAGCGGTCCGGTTCATAGAGTCTCAACCGTACCATCTACAACAGTGGTCACTACAGTCCCACTGTCAAGCCAGACCCAGGTTAGTGTGCAACAGCCTGTTTCAGTGGCTATGCAACCGCTGCAGCAAGCCCCTGAGCCCATGCAGCCTATGCAGTGGATGCCTAAGATACCCCTAATGAGTCCCAAGCCCTTCTCTGGTGACAGAAAGAAGGAAGAGGACTTAGACACCTGGGTGAGGACTGTGCCTACTTATGTGAGGCACAAGCTCACAAGGCCAGAGCAAGAAGTTGTTGTGGCTGCCTCTTTTCTAGAAGGGTCAGCAACTCGTTGGGTGAATGGCCTAGTGCAGCAACAGGGCTACGGTCAGGATTTCGATGCCTGGGCGCAGGCTCAGACATTGGAACAGTTCGTACGGTCCGTCTACAATAGGTGGCATGACCAGCAAGGGGCTCAAAAGGCCACCGATGCTATCAACAACCTTTGTTCCCGCAGGTTCAAGGATGTTAGAGAGCTTACAGACACCGTAGAACGCCTTCTCGTGGTACCTAGTGTGCGTTTTGACCAGTAGGTTCTACTGACGGATTACCTAAGGTGCCTACCTGCAGAGGTAAGGACCAAGCTGGTTGATGAGGCCTATGTCGAACAACACACCTTCGCTTCTTTTAGTAAGAAAGCTCTGGACATAGAGGCAAAGCTGGGGTCTGCGCATAGGGCATCTCATGATGGTAGGAAGAGACTACCCCAAGATTGAAAGAAGAAGGGTCAGTTAATGTCCGTTGACCACGATGGTCAAACGACTAAGATAGACGATTTCCCAGACCTTGGGCAGTTAACAGCAGGATGGGGCTAGTGAGACTTCAGATGGTGGAGTCGTTGCACCCATCAAAGAAAAGGTTAGGGGGATCGGGAAGAAGAAGGTAGGACGGTCCACGGGTCAGGGAGACCAAGGGACACCCGCATGGGTGAAGATTGGTTTGGATTACGAGGTGTGGAGGGACCGAGTTGCCAGGGGCACATGCATGAACTGTGGCAACTATGGCCACTCGTCCAGGACTTGCCGCGGCAAGAAGGTCACCACGAAGGTAGCCTCACCAACGGTGGTGGGCTTATCTTCAAATCCTGGGAGTGCTTCTGCGAGCAGCTCACAGGGAAACACCTCGGGCCAGTAGGAGTGTTAGCGGCTCTTACTCGTGCTGAAGTGGTAACGTTGCCTTCCCCACTTCAGGCGTTGGCCAAGGCTAGTGACCCACGCATCGCCCCCGCAGACACATTCAGACCCACCGACGCTCTGTTCGAGAGATGTGTCTGAGGCCCTAGAAAAGTTAGAGACTGAGTGGTCAGGGAAGGACCCCAGGGACTCTTCGGCGATGATCAGTAGAGGTCCAAGGGGTGAACATTTCGTGGTAGAAGTAGATGTAGGTGGCCGCAAGGTTGGCGCCTTCGCAGACATAGGCTCTACACAAAATTTCATCAGTCGTGCTTGTGTGGATAGACTGCGCTTAGGGGACCAAGTGCAGCGGCTTAGCAGAACTGTAGCTTCTATGCTAGCCAACAAGCACCAAATGGTTGTCAAAGACTATGTCAAGGACGTAGCCTGCACCTTCTCCTATGGAGGAGGGGAACTGGTCCACAAGATCTCCTTCCTGGTAAGCGACGAACTGCCATTCGATATGCTACTAGGTATGTACTACCTCGAAGTCTCGCAACCTCAGTTTGACTGGGATAGAAAGGTGTTGATCCACAAATTGCCCAATTGTAAAACTGTTAGATTGCAGAAGTATAAAGCTAGCAGTCTAATAGAAAACTACGGGTGTGCTTCATCCTTCTATAACTACCATAAGCAGAATCAAGAGGGCATGTATCTAGAGTTTGTCTCTGAGAAAGGGGAGTCCGTTAAAACACCCCCAGAGATAGAAAGAGTCGTCGCACAATATTCAGACCTTTTTGAGGAGCCCACAGGCGTGGTGGAAAGGGAGGTTGTACATGCGATAGAGATTGCCCCAGGTAGCAAGGTGCCTAGAGGACGAATCTATAGGATGTCTCCCCCGGAGTTAGATGAGCTTCGCCGCCAGCTCAAGGAGCTCACAGATAAGGGATGGATACGGCCTAGTACCTCCCCTTACGGTGCGGCAGTCTTATTTGTCCCAAAGAAGGGAGGTCCATTAAGGATGTGCATTGACTATAGGGGCCTCAATGTCATCACCGTTAAGAACGTGGAGCCCCTACCCCGCATTGACGACCTCTTGGATAGAGTGCATGGATGCCGGTACTTCACAAAGATAGATCTGAAGTCCGGATACCATCAAATTGTCGTTAGACCTGAGGACCAGCACAAAACCGCATTTCAGACCAGGTACGGTCTGTACGAGTTTGTGGTGATGCCTTTTGGCCTATGCAATGCGCCTGGTACGTTCCAGCACGTGGTGAATAGGATTTTTCATGACTACTTGGACAAGTTTATCGTCGTGTACCTCGACGATATTCTCATCTTTAGTAGGACTGTAGAGGAGCACGCTAAGCACTTGAAAACAATGCTAGGTCTCCTAAGACAGCACCAATACAAGGTAAGCTTGGATAAATGCGAGTTTGGTCGCACCAAGATCTTGTACTTGGGTCATGAAATTTCAGCAGATGGTTTGAGGCCGGAAGATGCGAAGGTGGCCAGCATACGTGACTGGCCCAGACCTCAGACTGTTACTGAGGTCAGATCGTTTTTCGGGATGACGGGCTATTACCGTCCGTTTGTGAAAAACTATAGTACTATAGCTTCCCCATTAACAGATCTAACTCGACTTGACACCCCTTGGGAGTGGACTGAAGAGTGTGAAGCAAGCTTCAAGAAATTGAAGTATGCTCTGACACACTACGAAGTTCTCAAACTTTCGGATCCTGACAAGCCATTCATTGTGACCACAGACGCTAGCCAACATGGCATAGGCGCGGTCCTTGCGCAACAGGAAGGGCCCAAGTTGAGACCGATCGAGTATATGAGCAAGAAGATGCCATCTCAAAAATTAGCTAAGTCCACGTATGAACGAGAGTTCTACGCACTATACAGAGCGCTAGTCCATTGGAGACACTACCTCCTAGGAAGATTCTTCTATGTGAGGTCTGATAATGAGACTTTGCGCTGGATTAAGACACAGTCTGTATTGTCAGACGCACTCAAGAGATGGATTCAAGTGATAGACATGTATGACTATCAACTTGATCCTATCAAGGGTACGTACAACAAGGTGGCTGATGCGCTATCCAGAAGGGCAGATTATCTGGGCGCGCTAGTCACTGAGTTTGGCATATCTGACGAACTCACTCGATCACTGGTGGAAGCCTATCAGGGAGACCTAGTCATGTCAGAAATCATCCGTAGATTCCAAGCAAAGGACGAGAAGACTTTGGATGAATTTACGATGGTGCATGGCTTGTTGTTCCTTGAGAAGTCGGGGAACAAAAGATTATGTGTAGCTAATAGCGAGTCTTTACGTAGTTTTTTTTAGGAGAATGTCATGATGCAACGGGACATTTTGGCTATAGAAAGACATTGGCAAATTTAGTACAAAGACTTTGGTGGCCCTCTATGTTGAAAGATGCAAAATGTTATGTTGAAACCTGCCAGGTTCGTCAAAGGGACAAACCAAGAACTCAGGCTCCGCTTGGGTTGATCAAACCCTTGCCGATCCCTGAAGGACCTGGCCAAAGTGTGTCCATGGATTTCATGGATACCCTTGTGACCAGCAAATCAGGAAAGAGACACATCTTTGTCGTAGTGGACCGTTTTACGAAGTACGCCAGACTGATCGGTATGCCTGAAACTGCTAGAACTGATTTCGTCATCAAACTTTTCATGGACAACTGAGTAAGAGACTTCAGTCTACCTACATCTATTGTAAGCGACAGGGATGTCAGGTTCACGAGCGAATTGTGGCAATCTACTGCTGAGCAATTAGGCACCAAACTCCAAATGACTTCAGGAAATCATCCTGAGTCAAATGGACAAGCCGAGCAAATGAACTGAGTAGTACAACACCTACTTAGGCATTATATCAAGCCAAGTCAGGATGACTGGGACGAGAAACTACCTCTCGTCGCAGCCTGTACAATAACGTTGTGCATAGTACTACCGACATGACTCCCAACCAATTGCATCTTGGTTGGAAGCCCCTGACTGCTCTTGATTTCCTGCTACCGGAAAGGGAACCCACTGCAGCACCTAGCAGCATCGAATTTGCTGTCAAACATGAACAGATGCTGCAGCAGGCCATTGAACATATTAGGAAGCCTCAAGATGCTATGATTGCATCTGAGAATAAGCATAGACGGCCCTCTAACTTTCAGGTAGGTGATAGAGTCTGGGTAAAGTCATCTGAACTAGGGCAGGAGTTGGGAATATCTAGAAAGTTGATGCCACAGTATTTTGGGCCCTGGGAGATCTTGGACATTGTAGGGGATCAACCAGATGGGCCTTCATATGTAATCCGTATTCCTGCACACCTACGCACTTACCCTGTATTCCATGCTTCCAAGTTGGCACCTTTCGCTGCTACAGAGCAGTTTCCCTCTCGGAGATCAATGCTGTCCCCAACCATGGATGGCGAAGTGGACATTGACCAGATCATCGAGCATCGAGTGATGCCTGTTCCTCGACCATCAAGCAGAGGGCGACCTCCTAAACCGCGAATGCAGTATCGTGTGAGCTTCAGACATTCTCTGGATCCTAAAGAAGACCGGTGGTTCGCACGAGAAGAACTCGTGAGAACAGCACCTCAAGTGATCGCAGGCTATGAAAGAGCACTCAAGGGGAAGATGCCTGCAGAATAAGAGACTTCTCAGAGGACTCACGAAGTAAAGGAGGAGGGAATGCGAGGATCAGGGTCCTCGGTAGGCCTATGGGGCCATGTTTGCAGCATTACCCGCCCTAAGTGAAGGCGGAGGTGCCCGCCCTAAGTGAAGGCGGGCCTGGCTTTTTGCAAGAGGCCTTCGACTGTCAATTTCATATTTGGGGTCCAGGCAGTTGCGACGCGCCAGTTGGTTGAARGAAACACAGGCCGAGCAACAAAGACATTTCCWCGGCCTTCCGGGCCTTTCCAAAGAATGCMGGCCCTSGGCGTGATTCGCAGCCTCATACAGAGACAGTTGGGCGCCCAACCGAACGAGGCCCAGCAGCCCAGTAGCTGCTGCATCCAGGCAGCCTCCTGGGGCCTTCCGGAAGCTTCTGGGCCCAGGCCAGCCCAGCCAGGCTGCGAGAGCAGGCCAGCTCTTCCCATAAAGGAAAGAGCTCTGGGCAGGCAGCCTCATTCAGGCACTCGCATGCTAGCGGCAGCGCTGCTGGAGCAAAGGCTCGCGGCTGCTGGCTGGCGCTGAGAGGCGAGGTGCAGCAYGTGCGGTCGTGCAGAGGAGGAGGGCGCTGCTGAGGGCAGCGCCATAGCCCAGCCACCATAGCTGGTGGGCTTGGACTACAGTGAAGCGCAGGGGTGGTCTTCGGGTGAAAGAGAGGACAGGTGTGGGTGTAGTCAGGGGATAGGTGAAGGATGATGATGATGATGATGATGTGAGGGCACTTACCTCGTATTGGCGATGGTCTGCATGGGGACATCTTCAAGTACTTCGGGCTGCCGCTGATGTCAACAGTTGCATTGTCCTTTTTTAGTCTGTAGTAGCTGTGTAGGAGGAGTAGGCTGGGCGCTGAGCGCCAAGTGTGAGTGAGAAGGAACTGGACTCTTGTGTTGGGAGGAGAGAGTATGCTCTCCATGAACATTGGTTTTCAGTGCGACGAACCTCCATTGGTGTATTATTGGTGCAATGCTGCTCTCTGGACACGGTGTGACTATTTGGCTTTCAATGTGATGGTGTGATCTGGAATTGTCATCTCACTGTTACTTATTTTCCTTATTTTCCTTGCAAAAGGGTACATTTCGAGGAATTTTGGACTCATGTTTTCTCATTTATCTCTTTCTTAAAATTAACAAGTAATTTTGAGGTGTCCCTCGGTCAAAAGTCGTTTGCATTGCAATTTTACACAACATATTTCTTTTTCGCATTTTTTTGTTATTTTTAATTATTTTCTAGGCTACCAGAGTGGCCCGGGGTCACTTGCCCGGCCGGGCCAAAAAAATAAAAATAAAAAAACTATTTTTATTTTTTATTTTTTATTTTAATTTTGGTGAAGAATTTCGATGTGACCCTGAGGCAAAAGTTGTTCAGTTTATTTTTCTGCATAACATAGTTGTTTTTCGGATTTTTTGGATTTTTTTTTATATTTATTTTTTTTGCTGGGACCTCCTTGCACGGGCTGGCCACCCGGGACCCGGGCGGCCCGGCTGGTAGCCTAGTTTATTTTCTATTTTTTTAAAATATTATGCGCTGGGATCACCCGGACCCTGCCCGGCCCGGGCCGTAAGGGAGGGTACCCGGGCGACCGTCCCCCAGCCGGGCGGTCCACGGACTAACACAGTTGTAAAGTCAATATCTATACAAAACCACCAGAATATCTTTTGTGATGACCTGACCAAACACGGACTGAGACACAGCTGATTTCCGAGTTTTGCTCATGGACTGAATGCCTTGCTGAGTTTCCCACTTGCTACTGAGTTCTCTAAGTCTGTGTGAGTGCACGCTTGCTGGTCTGCATGTCTGTCTGAGTGTTTGTCGGCTTGAGTGTGTGTGTGACCCGCGAGGGCACTTATTCGTTCATTGGGCCCGCAGGGCCGATACTTACCTGTGGCTGTGTGTTGCATACCATAACGGTGCAGACCAGACCAAGACACGATCTTTCTCGCCAGATACAAAATAGCAGAACGGAAGGCTTGAATACCAATGATCCGATCAATCAAACTGCCATGCAGACCAAACATGCATCATCATCATTCCATGGTGTGAAGGGGGCTGACGTGCACACAGGAAGAATGCGTCAGTCCCCTGGTCATACACAGATGAAGAGGAGGGAGATTAGACGAAGGGGAGGGGGAAGATGGAAATGTCGTCAACACCAAGTCTTCGATACAGTCCCAAATAATCCCTCGCCAAAGGTCTGAATCCCGATGCTGAGTCTGAACCCCAATGTCGAAAAATCGCAATGTCGCCCATCTCTCTCTCTCTCTCTTAGCTGGTAGATACAGAGAAGTCAGGGGCGAGAGGGTGAGGAAAAGATGGTGGACCATATGAAGATTGGAATATATGTGAGAATATTGAAGGAGAAAAAAGAAGCATATATGCTTCTACTCAGTAGGTCGAGTAATATTTAACCAACAATTAAGATCTGCTTTACAAGAAAAAAATGATTACTAAGATTTACATCATCCTTCATGAAGGAATCGAGGAAGAAGAAGAACTCAATCTCTCTCTCTCTCTCTCTCTCTCTCTCTCTCTCTCTCTCTCTCTCTCTCTCTCTCTCTCTCTCTCTCTCT